TGGCAACGGGCACTGCGAAAGTTTGGGAAATCAGGAAGGGATTTGTTAGCACTCGGAACTGCCTTCTGACTGTCAGGTTTTGGCGGCTCATGGAGAACCTTCCAGGTGAGCTTTTCTACACTGACTATCCAGTGCTGTCCGTAGCCATGTGGAAATCTAAGCTGGTATCTGGATTACTGACATGATTTTTTTTCCATCCCCCCCTTTTGAGACCTGCCATAAATTCTGCAGTGGCTCCTTCCTACCAGTGTGGCCTAATGGGAAAAATTCAGAGTGCAAAAATCAATGCAAAATGACAACTGTCTCTGTAGCTGTAACCACAAATTGTTATAATGCAAATCTAACTCAGATTCTTCATGTAGGGAACAGTCTGCTAATAAAGGTCTGTCAAAGAGATGCCGCTTGCTTGTGTTTCTTGTTCCATGTGTTGTTGGTGCTGTCTGTGGCCAGACTCTTCCTGGAATGATTCACAGGTTGCAGATGCTGGGAATGATCTGCCCTGCCTGGGACCTGGGAAAACAGAATGCTTTTTAAAAGAAAAAAAAAAACAGCAAAACCAAGGTCAAATCTAATAACAGCAGTGAGGACTCAAGGATGTTCAGATACTGTTAACTTATCTCTGCTGAACCTTGTTTCTCTATTTAGTTGTTTTTTCTTTCTCTGAGAACTGAGCCTCCCAGGAAAACTAGACTGGGCAGCGTGTTCTCAATTATGCTCTTGAAAGAATCGGGCTTAAAGTTTCCAAGACTAAAGGCTTTGTACCTTTTCTCCCCCCTTTTTTTTTTTTAAGAGCAATCCTTGAAGGCCATCAAAAATCATAGTTGGTTGCAAAAGTGGCTTCTAATTTCGTTTAGAATCTCTGTGGAAACCAGACTAGGGTGTTACTGGTTGCGTATGTCCGCAGCTGTAACTCAAGGCTTTTATTCAGCTATAAATCTGCTTGTGAAGTCTGCGGCCTTGTAATCCAAGAAGCTGCTTTTCCCGTGGTGTCAGCTCCAGTCAGCCGAGGCGCTCAGCAGCCTTCCCAGACCGCGCGCTCCAACTGCTGCCCTCTCCTGCCCTTCGACCGTCGGGCTCCGTGGGCTCCTCGAGGCGGCGGGTGGAACTTGCCTCTCTCGAGCTGATCGAGGTGCTTGTGAAGGGAGGGCTGCCCCGGGACCATGAGCTCGAGCCTGGGGCTGGGGAACCAGCACCAGCCTTAGCACAGCTCGCAGCCGAGGCCGAAGGCCCCGCTCCAGGATGATGCCTCATAAATGCTGCCTTATAGAGCAAGGACTGCAGAGGGAGGAGGAGGACTCTGCTGTGTTCTCTCCGGCTTGTCCTTTCTTCCTTTTTAAGGAAGAAGGATATTTTGAGTGCTTAATTACTAGGTTGGAACTGAGACTAAATTACCTTCCTGATGCACAGTGAAAACACTTTTTTTTTTTTTTGTTTTCAACCTTACCTCCCCCTTTCACAAACAGAGCAGCAGTTGCTTCCCTCCCTTGGGTGGCTGCCTTGATCCGGTTAAGGATGAGGTATCTGGGGGATGTTTAGGACTAAGGGAGAGCAGGAATATGGGCTGAGGGCCGCCTTGTAGTGCAGGAATGTGGCTCGAGGCGCTTGAGCCTTCCCACCGCCAACGTGCTGAGCTTATTGTGAAATAGGGAAACATGATATTTCTCTCCAAAGCTGTAAAACTCCAGCCTGGATGGGGTTAGGACCCCCTCCCTTTTTGGCAGGAGAGGAACCTGTCAATGCTGTCATCCTACGTGGCAAATCTTGCCACGAACGACCTCAGAGAGCTCGAGCTCAGGCCAAAGAGTTTAAGAAGAAACATCTGCTCCAGCTGAACTACTTCTGAACATCTGAACTACTTCTGGCAGTTGGGTTGACATCAAGGAAAAGGAGGTGGCCACTTTTAGCGGAGCCTTATCTTCCTCTTCGGGCTGCTTGGTTCAGGCTGCGTTTCTACCCTCCCCTGTATTTCTGCTGTGCACTGAGCACTTGGCAGGCTCCTCCAGAGGAAGGTAAGGGATTGCCCTCTCCTGGTCAGTCTTCATTACTGCTCCATCTGCGATTTTAATAGAGCTGCCTTCCAAACTTGGTTTGGGAATATCTGGTGTGAAGCCAGAAGGACTGAATCGGTGCTGAAAAAGCATCCAAATGTCACCTTGTCCCGGATCCCTGATTGCTTAAGATTTTTTTTTTATTATTTTTTTATTTTCTTCCACACATACTAGTTTAAGGTGAATTAAATCCTACTTTTTTATTGGCAGTCCCACCCGATTTCTTCACCAAACCAGCTTGCTGATCTCTGACACCTTTTTGTCAAAATGCACCACACTCGCACAAAGCATTTACTGTTAGCAGTTACCAGCACTCCCAAACCCGGGGCTTTCTGAAGACGTGACTCCGTGTCTGCGGCCAAGGGCTACGTACGTTGCTTGTTGCCTTTTTTGATTCCTAGCATTAGGCACAGCTCCTTCCAGCAGCCCAATCAGTACTGGAATAAATCAAGCTGCCCGTGCACCAGCAGGAGGGAATTTTCCAAAGCAAGAGAGCGCATCTTTTTATTTTTATCCTACTTAAGTCTCAAAAAGGCTCCTAAACCAAGCTCAATGCCCTCCTGTTGAGCGGTTCCTCTATGTCTCTTGCAGCCCTGTTGGATCCCAGGTTTCTAGCAGCAGTTGAACTGGGGCCTGGAGAAGATGCAGCTCTCCACACCACAGAGCTCTGCTAGTGCTGTTTTCAGAGCCTGCTTTAGCCTGATGCTAAAGCGGTGCTATAGGAGCGTGTTTGGTAAAAACAAGGAGCACTCCATGTTTTTGAGAAACAGGTAAGAATATTGTACTATTCCCCCACGCCAAGCCAACGTGGTTTAAGTTCTGCCAAGACCTCTCTGCTCTACCGCTCTGCTCACCCATATTTCCTTCGGCCCGATGACAAAGGTAGCATAAATCTAGTTTGTGTTTAACCGGTTTCATTTCAGTTCTTGAGATGTGACGCCCCGCACCTCGGCAGGGCGCAGAGACCCTCCTGGGCACGCAGGACCCGCAGCGCCCGTGCAGGTGTCTTGGCCTTGCCTGTCGTCTCCAAAGCCAACATGCCGCAGGTGGCTCCTGAACCTCCAGGGCTGCAGCTGCTTCCCATGAGCGCCTGGGCCAAAGCCCCAGGTGACCCTTGTTGGCCAAATCGCCCCGGCCGCTCACTGCTGGTCACAGGTGGGCTTGGAAGCGTGTGTGTCCTCCTGGCTTTTGTGTGAAACGGGGGAGTTTTCAGGAAGCAAAAGCTGGAGGCTGTGGGTGGAGGAGGTTGTGCTGGTTCTGGTCTGATCTTGTGGCAGCGGCACAGCAGTTCCTCATGCTAGAGAGCAGCTGCGTGTGGGAAGCCAAGGTAAGGCTTCCTCACAACTCCTTGGAAAGGGGACCCTGGTCAAGCTGGTTTGGACACCTGTTTTTTTAGGATAAAAGTGCCTTGTGTGAGGGGGACAGGTCCCGTTCTGGGGTAGGGCTGGGCCTGGGTAATGCTCTGATGGAAGCGCTGAAGGAAAAGCCCCGGGAAGAGGCCGTGTCGCAGTGGGTTGTTCTCCCGCAAGCCCTCCACAGCAGGAGCGGCGCTGCCGCTGCCTCAGCCTCCTGAGGGAGCCGGAGCTCGTGGCAAGGGCAGCCCCCGCTTCGGAAACTCCTGTCGCGTGCGGAGCTTCATCCCTGGCTCTGCTTGGGCCAGTGTGAGGGCTGAGGCTGGCCCTGATCACGTAGACGGGCCCGTTTCCTTCCCTCCAGCCAGGGCAGGTTTGTTGTGCCAGGCTCAGTCCTTCCTTGGAGCTGCTGGAGGGACCTCGGCCCCCATGGAGGGACACGGGCAGTGCAGGGGAAAGTGGCTCTTGCTGCTCCTGGTGGCGTGAGCTGCTGGAGCAGCCGCGGCTGCTTTACCTCACAAAAATATCCGCTCCCCTCCCTTGTCCTGGGATACTACTGGGGGGCTAACAGGGGCTGTGAGGAAATTGGGCGGTTCAGGATGTGTTGGAAATGCAAGTTTTGCTCAGAGTGCCCCTGTGTCGCTCCTTCCTCCCCCGCGCTTCCCGAGCCGGCAGCGCAGGGAAGCGGAGGGGCCCTTAGGAGCCTTCTCCCACCTGGAGCAGCAGCTGCCTCAGCTGCTGTTTCCCAAGGAGGCCACAGGACTGGGATCTGCTGCCTGCAGCCACCTCCCATGCCGGTGGCTCCGGGTGTGGGATGGGGCCCCTCTCCCTGCTCCTCAGTTTCCTGCATGGAGCTGCTGGAGGGAGGCGGTGGCAGAGGAGGTCGCTGCGTCCCCGCCGCAGCCATCTCGGTCCTGGTGTTAATTAAGAGACGCATCCGGCTTGCGCAAAGCCCGCATCTGTCTCCATCCGCCTTTTCCAGCTTGGCCCGCGCCGCGGGCGCCCTCCCTGCCCTCAGCACGTGGCGACTCCTGGGACTTGATGGGAAAATTCGCAGGATAGAAATTCCTGGTTAGGATTGTGCTAGCGGGAACAGCCCCTGGGCCTGGGCACTGCCGCAAGGCCACAGCTGGGGATCCTACCCTGCTCCCCGATGTGCGGGGACAGGGAATTGCCTTGAAAGGCAGTAACTGGCTCTGGTTCTTGCTGGCCAGCATCCAAATGCCCTTTTTAATCTTTTGGTTTTTTTGATCGTTACGGGAAGCAGCAGCTCTGCAGAAACGGGAAATCCTGCCTGGTGCAATGCGGGGCCTGCCCCCGCCAGGGGCACGGGAGGCCCCGGGGCTGCATCACGCCGGCGCTCTGCCCTTACGCCACGCGCTCGTCACACACAGTTTATTTGGGAAGAAGAGCAGAAAAACAGTGGGTTGCCAGGAAGAGTGTTCCGTGTCTCAAGAAAGGAATAATAAACCTAATCACCAACGCGCTTGACGGCAAGTCCTGGGAGCGCGTGGAGAGGGCTGCTCTGCATCGTGCTGGCAGCTCCCGGTGTGGGGCGGCCTCGGTGGCAGGAGGAGGAGGAGGAGGCCGATGCGCAGGGCTAGGCTGTCTGCGGCGCCTGCGTTGCCTCGTCTTCGTCTGGCTGCTCCCCGGGCACAGGACACGCGTCCTGTGGGGAGAAGGGCCGGTATCAGAGCCCCATCTTTAGGGCAGGGGTCTGCGCCCCTCGCGTGGGTCACGGCTGTGGTGGTTTTGGGGGGTTTCGTACCTTTTCGGAAACGAGGAAGATTTCGTCGTCGGCGAACCCGTGGCACGCCAGCTGCGCCCTGAACTCATCCAGCCGCTCCTTGCTCACGTGGAGCGAGCGCGCTGGGGCAGGAACAGCGGGGTAAATTTGGGGCAGGGAGATCACTTAATAAAGACGGCTCCTTGGCCGACTCCATCGCCTTGGCTGGAGCCCTCTCAGGAGCCCCGTGGCGGAGGGAAGGTAGGAACAGGGGCCCAGACTGATCCTGAGGCTTGTTGTGGGGTCAGGATGGGCCTTTAGGAGTGGGGCAAGTGCAAAACATCATACTGGGAAAGTGCAAAAACTGCCGACGGTGGATGGCTGCGGGGGTCCTGCCGTAGCCCCAACTCCCTCTCATCATGACCTGGGAGCCTCCCACAGTCTTTCCATCTGTCCCCACTCAGGGGGCAACTGGGGCATTGCATTTTGGGGTTGGGATCCCTCCACGGGCCCTGGGTCAACGTTACTCACCCGAGAGGCTGAGACCGGGGAAGCCGTTGTTGATGTGCTGCAGGATGAGCAGGTCCTTGCTGCTCCTGATGAGGTGGGCCATGGAGGTCACCTGGCCATCGACTGGGCAGGGAGCAGCGACGTGAGGGCCCGGCCGCCCGGGGGGGACATGTGGGGGACGCGGTGCGGGGCCTCTTGGCCATGTCTTACCGTGCATCAGCGTGTTGTTGTGCCGGAAGACCTGGATGGTGCTGGTGTTCCTCGTGACGCACGTCTCGTTCCTGCGGGCAGAGGGGCCCGGCGGGGTGAGCGCGGGGCCGCGACGACCCGGCCGGGTCTCTAGGGTGGCTCCGCAGCCCCTCGAGGGTGGCCGCTCGGAGCCTTGGGGACGCCGTGGAGCGCCTCGGCCTTACACTCGCATGATCTCCGTGACATTGAGCTCATCCGGGTGGCTGCCAGGGTGGAAGAAGAAGGTGGCGTACTTCACCGACCGCAGCTCCTCCAGGTGCGGCGGGTACTTGGAGGAGCCCAGGAGGTAGATCCACTTGCCCAGGAGCTGCGCGGGGAGCAGAGGAGACGGGAGGGCTGGGGCGATGCTGGCTGCTTCGCCCTTGTCCCTTCTCTGCTCCCTGCAGGTTTTGGGGTCCCCCGAAATCACCCACTGCCTCACCCCCAGCTCTTATTTATTATTAATTTATAGGAAAAATAAAGGTGCAGCAGCGGGCGGGCAAGCTGAGGCAGCGCTGTGTTTCCACCCGGTTGTTGCCCCGGGAGGGCCGCCGCCTCC